GCCAGCAGGCCGTGAGCTGCGAGGTCCCTCCCCTCCAACATGGTAGTGCCTCCCGGGGCCACCGCCACCACAGAAGGAAGGGCCGGGGCCCCCCACAGCTTGGCCCACTGGCAGCTCGCCCCTCCTGCCAAGGGAGACATGGGCAGGCTCTGTGGGGGTAGAGGGGAAAGGATCATTCCCTTGCTGTTTCTGCCTTCAGCCCACTGCTCCTGTGGTGGGGTGAGCTGTCATATAGCTGCAACATTACAAATATCTATGCGGATGTGGTTTAGTTTGCAGTGTAGCAAACTAATTTAAGTTATATGTATAACCCCCCCCCCCCCCCCCAAAACCCTGCACGTGTATAGCGGGATGCAATTAAACCACAAAAACGGCCAATTTGCATCACTTGTATGATCACCCAAAGTCTTTCATTATTGAAGAGATCACTTCTTACGGACCAGATCCTATACCCATGCTCCGGAGAGTATAGTCTGCATTCTCCCATTCCCTCTGTAGCACAAGTCCCAAACATGAACATGCAGTTTGTTCCTGGATTTTTAGGCTTACGCGAATAAACAGAGTTGACTAGAGGCACCAATTTAGTTTCAATTGAGTGATCTACAAAAAGACTTCTTAATTAGATTAATATAATTTATTAGCCCATATGACAAAGTATACCCTCACACCATACCTGATATCACCTGACTCTCTTCGTGTGAAGGTGAGCAGTGAAGTTGTTCGGTCATTTATAATGTCTTTGAAACCAGCTGTTCCTCATTAAATTGATTGTCACAAACTATTCCCAAGGCATGCTCTGCATCACTGATGGCAACATCTGTTAGAAAATAAATCTGTTTGAGTGTTTGCAGATTAAAACATATATATTACCTATAACATTTGTGTAGCTGCATATAGTATGGTAATGATTGGTAGTTTTGGATCAGTATCCTGCTGTACACATCTTTTAAGAAAGAATCATTGCAAAACAGTAACAAAGAAAAGTAATGGGATATTTTGTAACTTCAAAAGAATATTCTCTGTTTATCACCTGTCTTTCAAAAAAAAACAAACAAAAACCATGAGAGTTGTAATGGAAATTAATTTAAAACCATAATATACAATAAGCCCTCCCATTGCATTATAACATATTGTCTCACACTGCATTAAAATGGAGTTAAGATTAAATCTGTATGAGTACTTTAAATGAAAGTATTGAAAGAGTGCATAAATATCCCCCAAATCTTTACACGCTAGGCTTTAGACGTTCAAAGCTAAGCTTAAACTTAAAGAAATGCAAATATGGTATAGTATAAAATGTGTCGGAAAGGTATCCAAACTACTGCAATTATTCCATGTAATGAAATGACGCAGTGAATCTTCAATTATGTCGATACATTGTAATGTTTGTACTCCTGCATTACATTAAACGCACATTTTATTCCCCTCCATTCTGTTAGTACAGATAGGAACTAAGGTGACTGGATGACTTCCTACACATTTTGGATTTGAAGTTCCTGGGTTACTAATGTTTCCAAGAGTAATAATTACCACATCATTATAAAGCTTCTACCCTTCCATTACTGATACTTTACTTTGCATCCAGATAACTGTTCTCGTGGTTTCTGCTTCTTTTGCCCATGCACCCATGCATGTGGAATCGGATTCTTTTGGCCAGCAGCATTCATCGGGCTGTATTTTGAATCCTGCATGCTCCACCTGAATGCACAAAGCATAGATTTGGACCTAGTTGCCCCTCCACTCCTGACTCCTCATATCAATAAGAGAAAATTCCTGCAGGGTCCATTCGCTCTGCACACTGTCATTAGATGTCAGGCTAGTTCTTTACATGGCTTAGTTTGTTGCTTTTCTCTCTCAATTAACATTTTTAGAATATGCTAGGGATACCCGTGATACTAAGTAACTAGTTGCCATGGTTGAAAGTAAATCACCAGCGTTTGAATCCTGTTCCTCTTGTGTGGCGGCTGTGCTGCTCACTGATAAACCCCCTAGGAGCCTCTTCTGCTTTAGCAAGTGGTATACCATGTTTACGCATGCAGCATTTCCCCAAATATCAGGATGTGTATTTTAATCGGGGAAGCTGATTTTTTTTTTTTTTTACCAAAACTTCACTACAAGGAGGCATAGAAGAATAAGGACACTGCTACAAGATGGCTACCAGTTTTATTCCAAAACATGCATACGGTGGATATGTAGTGCTGAGGTAGACCCCAAAACTTACCAAAAACTGGTGCCAATTTGAGAGAGGCTGTGAAAAGGTTAGCACTGGGCTGTGCCCTCATCCTGCTTCCTGGCAGGTGTAGAGAAGCTGGCAACCATCTTGTAGCACAGTGTCTTCAAGAAAAAGCTAGCTGCAGGACATGAGACTGCAGGGGGGAAATCTCCGTTCTGCCTTCCAGAAGCAAGGTTCATGTCTTATTTGGGGTCATATGGTATGCAAGGAAATATGGTACTGCCCCTGGTTCTTCAAGAGGAAATCTGTTTCAAGCTTTTCTTTTGGAGCATTGAATTAAGGGCCTCTTCAGAGCCTGGGACTAAAAATCCTTCTAAGATTTGACAGAAAGGGACAGAAAAGATCATCGCTTTCAGGAGAAAAAGCCCCCAAAACATCACCTTCCCAGAAGCCTAAGAAGTTGCCATCACTATATTAATTCATGCTCCTCAGCTGACAGCAAGTTCAGAGCCCAAGTCCAGTTCCTCTGTCTCGGCACTGCCAAAGAGGTACTTATCTCTACTTCTATAGGTGCTAACTCCATATCAGACTTGGCATTTTCAGTCATTACCTACCGCAGATGTTTCCATCACTGGTTTTCTCTCTATTCTCATCAAGACCAGATAACTGGAATTACCCCTGCTTGCCTCATCTTCTGTGAGGAGTTGCTGCTGGAGCTGTCACAAAAACCAGGACTAGATTTCAGGAAGACCCTTTCATGGAGGCTAGGGTAGTTCTACATTTGCTTCCCTTAAATCGAGCCTTTTTTTAAAGGTCTGTTTTTTGTCTTGCGTCCCAACGCGTACTTCTAAGTGTCAGGTATTCTTGTTGAAACCCAACTATCTGAACTTCATGGAGAATCTTCAGCGCAATCCAAAAGTTGACATAAGATCACTGATGTCAAAATTAGTACTCGAAGGATACATCTACGCGTCGCCCTGCAGCGATTTGTAGCGATGAGCTACATTGCCATCTGGCGTGCTGTGGCGACATAGCGATCCAGCTGTGGTCCCATAGTGGCGCACTCCCCGTGTATAGCTAAAGCACGGTGCTGTGGCAATGTCATTGTATGGTGACATTGCTAGCTATGCCCAGAATATCTCTGCCAGTTGCTTTAGATGCAGATAATCCACCTTGGTGACTGATTACACTGCAATGCTCAGGCCTTTGTGGTTCCAGTCTTTTGGGGTACTCGGGAAGATCTAAACCACTAACAAGGACCTCCCATACAAAAGCTTTTTTCAATTTTAACATGAAGACTGATGAAGTTCTTTGTTCCTTAAAAGATTCAAAAGCCTTCCACAGCCTTCTCCCAAAATCTGCATGATAACCTCAGAGAAGTGGCAGGTGAGACTCTCGGAGCACGATCAAGTGGAAGGTCTCTGCCGTTTACTATTGCAACCCTCAGAAAATATCAAAGCCACGAACTAAAAAGCAGAGGTGCCAACACTAAAAAACTTCTTCCACTTTCTTCCCTTTTGCTTTGTGATGCCAGAAAGTTCACCATTGTGGAGAGCTCAGCAGACCTACACTTGGCAACTGAATTTTCATTTTTGAGAGGTTAGGAGATGAGTTATCTGAGACCAGTGCACCCTGGAAAGTATAAAACGGCTTTCTGTTAAATTCTAATATCTTCACAACCAGCTCCCTTTCCCCGTCCCTATTTAAGAACGTTTCTCACAAGATACTTTTCAAAAGGAGATTGGAATCACTGCAGTGTTTGGAGAGGTACTTTTCAACTGTAGAAGTAAAGATTTGCTGGTTTATTGGTTGTAGCAGTGTTGGTCTAAGGACATACACAAGCAAGGTTTTTTGAGTAGAGGTGATACCTTTTACTAAACCAACTGAGTAGTTGGAAAAAAAGTTCTTGGCAAGCTTTTGGGCACAGTCACCCTTCTTCAGGCATGGGGAATTGAGGTAAAGATTTTACAGTTGCTACTTTTTAATCCTGTTAAACAGACTAGGTCCCAATCTGGATTTGAGGATTCTTAACAGCTTCATTGGTCATTCTAAATTTAGGAGGATGACTCCAATCAGCATATTTCCCTCACTGAATTTCAGAATTTGTTCATGGCTCTCGAGCTGCAGGCGTTTCCTTCCACGTATCTGACTACTAGCAGTTTGCTGTCAGAACAGAGTTCTACCTTTTGGGGTCTTTCCTCAGCATTGATGGTATTCACTAAATATTTTGCAGTCCAGTGTTCTTCTAAGGCCACAAGGCTTCCAATTATATGCTTTAGCTGCTGTGCATAACAAAAAACTAACCCCAAAACTCTTTTCACATGGTCCTAGAGGTTTTCTTTGCCATACGGGGCTCTAGGCCAGCAGAAAAAAGATCTACACTGTTGCTGGTCCAAAGCTTAGAATTTGCAGGAGCCGTGTTAGGTTTGAGATCATCAGGAATTTATCCATCGCAAGCAAGATTCTAGACTCTGCTTGACAGCTTCTGTGACCTGCAGGTCGTGTTCAGATACCTGGATCCAGGGGCCACCTACACTTGCATGTCCTATGCACTATACCAGGATGGTCCAGGTCAACCTAACTATTCCATAAATACCACAGGAATCTTGCTCAGCTAAATGCAAGATCTTCCATGTGCACATCGCAGGGATGGATTCAAATAGTCTAAGTGGGCACTTAACCGTGGCTTAGGTAGGAGTTAGATGCCAAAACTCTAAAGAGCAGTTCATCTTATCCTGCTGCCAGCACCTTTTGTTTATGCACCTAAATCCAATATCCACCTTCATTTGGAACTGCAAATGGTGAGTGGCTATGATTAATGCATATACCTTCTCAGAAGCATGTGCCTAGCTCCCCCTAAGTTTTACAGTAATCCATACTGACCTGGGAGATGGCCAAGCTTTGTTCTGAGATCCCAGAGAATAGCCACGGTGATAAATAGCCAAAAGCTACAACTGATTTTTATATTAATCACACTGAATTGAGCTCAGAACTAATGGTGGGAATGATAGTGATATTGGCCCCGTCCCGTCCCCGCCACCTTCCAACAGCTGAGTGGTTACAGTACGTGCCTGGGATGTGGGAACCTGGTACTATTCCCCACGTACATTTGATGGGTGATGAAACTGGATCTCCCACTTCAGAGCAGTGTGCCCTAACTACCGGTCAAGTAGGCTATGTGAGGACATTCACCACTTTTCCTGTACAAACTGAGCTAACAAATTTGTATGCGTTTCCCAGTTAGCATTCTGATTCTTGGGGCCGGAAGGACAAGCAAGAATGGGGATAAACTGGGCCTTCCAATTCCTATAACAAGGGTAATTTTTTTCCTTATTTATTTTTAAACAGAAATGGTTCTTGGAGCAAGGAAGAGAGAGCTTGTCTCTGTGACTTAACAGTTATAGCACTCTCCTACAAGAGGGGAGTCCTGGATTCTCTTCCTTGCACTGTTTTATGGGACAGTTTGAATCCTGCCCACAGTGTGTTTCTCAGTTAGTACTAGAAGGGTATTGGACATCCCTATTTCTACTCTTCTGGAGTGTCTGCTGACCCTAAAATATTCAGGACCATCAGTCAGTATATTTAGCAGCAGTATGTGTACATCATCATAGAATTCAGGGTTTAGACTTTATTTTCCCACCATAAAATCTGCTAGAGTCCCCAAAGATCTCGTTCACTTTTTCCTCAGTCCTGGAGACCTGTTTCCTGGAACCTAAGCATATGGATTTAATCAGGGCCTCCTTCTGAGCAGGGTGGTTAAAAATCAATGATTTAAAAAAAATAAAAAAATAAAAATGGTTTTTTTTATTTAAGTCAGATCTTTTTTTTTTTTTTTAAATAAATCTATATAAAGATAGATTTAATTTAAGATATGCTAAAGCTCAAGTATATCATCATGGAATAGGGATTATAACTTCTACTTGTATACTATTTGAGACAATATATTCATGTAACCTTTTTAGAAAAGTTTTGTAAATAGGTCACAACAGGCCATAGACTATATTAGGGGCCCAATCTTCTGGAGTTCCCAGAGGCTTCTGCATAGGTTAGTAAAGATTAAAGAAAACCACTCTACCCAGTGGGAACTCAGTGCTCAGTCTAGAAGATCCCATTAAGCATCTCAGTGATGCTTTGTTTAATTTCTCAAACTGGATTTGTCTCTAAGGATAACATCCTTGTTAACAGCAGTGTATGGACCTGATTACCTAACCATCAGCCGTATTGTGTTTCTGCATGTTTGTGTAGTCAAGCCCTTACCTCTCTCTAAAAGTGCAAAGTTTCAGGAAGTTAAATGAATAGAGGGTTGTTGGGGTGGAGCAGATTGGGGCAAGGAGAAGGCATCTGGAGATAAATGCAAGGAGGGAGGGGCAATAGAAACAAAAGAGAAACATTTTGAGCAGACTATTCCAGAAGTCTGGAGGAATAAGTTCATGGGTAACTGGTGCCTCCTGGCTCTGGGGGGGCACCAGCAGCTGATCGCTGACCCTGGAAGCACCAGTGGCAAACCGGAAATGCCGCCAGCAAAACTGGAAGTGCCGCCAGCACTCTCCACTCCGTGGCCAGCAAGGGCCAATTTCAGGGGGGGCACATGCCTCCCCATGCTCCTCCTATGTGTCGCCTATGGATACATTTCTGAGCATAGCCTCTCTATTGATTTGAGGTCTAGTGAAGAATGGTACAGTAGAAGGGAATATCTGTCATGGCAGCAGGCTTGCCAGGCTATAAAAGAGATTAAATTAAAGATGAGAAGAAATCTAGAAGAAAGCCCTAAACTAATAACTGCAGTGCTCATTTCATGTCCTTCTAATAGTGTGGCAAAATATTCTTGAAATATCCATGATTAATCTAGTGAACTGGAGGATAGTTCGTCCCCCAGTGACTTCACAAGTATCTGTTTCAATTACCTTTTGGTAAATAAAATAACCAAATCATAATTCAATTTTCTGATGTAGCTGCAACATTAATCTGAAAAAATATCAAAATAAATCAATATATAGTGTGTACATCTATCTCAGTTGTGAATGATATGTATTAAGGTTATGTCAAACAACAAGAATGTACTTTTTGTAGAAAACAATGATTAAATCAAGGCTTCCTGACCTGTGATTTAAATCAAACCCACCCTGCTTTTGAGCATCTAACAATGTGCTTTCCTTGTTATGACTACTAAAAAGAGATCTTTATAACATTTAGCTTGGAGAGTAAGAGGCTCTTAAGGCTTTCTGCCATGTTCCATAAAGACAGCGTGACTCAAGCCTCGCCCAGTGCTTGCCAGCATTTATCTCCAGTTTTCGGTAGACCAGCTGGTTCAGCCTTTCTGATGTTGATTTGTTTTTTTTCTTCCCACTTAAATCAGAGGAAAGCCTAATTGCATACCCTTGCTATGTCGTGGCACTTTTGTGCTATCTGAACAGGACTAGACCCACAGACTGATAGTAATGTTTGCAGGTAGAATTGTTAGAGGTCAGGCTATATCCACGCAGTGTCTAAATGCATGTTTGATGGTGTTAGTTCACATAAGAACCCCCTGTATATATTGGAGACCTTCCCACCAGTTGTAACTGCCCCACTTGCACAGTCATCCACCGCTGTTCCTTGGTTGAGCCCTCAAGAATTGATGCCCACTTCAGGAGATATTGAAACTAAGATTTTTAACTAGCTTTAGTTTTTAACTAATACCAGTCTTCTGCCTGTGAGGCCATTGCTCACTAATCATGTAAAATACATATAGGCAATCACTTAAAGAAAGAATGGTTCCTTATCTTACATGAACTCTCATTCTTCAAGGTTTCCACAGCCTGCTCTCCTTCCCCTCGTATGAGTCCTATGCCACCTGGATTCTGCATTGACAGAGGAACTGAGAGAAGGTTCGGTCTGCTCCATTCTTTATGCCCTCAGGTGGATGGTGTAAATTCACGTAGGGCACAGGTACGCTTCTAGCATATCTTCCAGGCCAAAAGAATCTAGTTTCCTGCCTCTGAAGAGCAGGATCATCAATGAGCTCAGCACATCTTGAACAACTTTTACAACGTAATGTAGTTTTTGTGGGGGAGTTTCCTTAGTTTTAAAAAAGTTATTAAAAATTTCCTACATGACCACGAATCAGAAAAACAAAAGCAATGTTAGTAGATGATATTTTTAATGATGTTAAAACTGCTTTTGGAGTAGTAGGAGATACGACCTGTCTCGCTCTGCATGTTCATGCCTGCATGTACACAAACCATTCACTCTTTTCCCCCGCTAGCACTGTTGGGTAGATGTGGTGATGTTCTTCCTTTTGAAGAAATGTCCTCCTGTGGAGAAAGGTGATAGTGCGTTGGTTCCCAGCCTTGGGGCACGACCCAAATCAGGATTGCGGGGGATCCTCAGTAGGGTCACGAAGGGCCCATGCGGACACACACACTCACATACGTGGCGCAGGAGCAGTGAGTGGGTGGGGCAGGGCCACTGTGCACAAAGGGGGCACTGGCAGCTTCCCCACCGCCAGACCACACCACCACACTCCACTCCCTGCAGCGGCGGTCGGAGGTTACGGCAACCAGTTTAGTCACTCTCACTCTCACTCTCACTCTCACTCTCACTCTCACTCTCACTCTCACTCTCACTCTCACTCTCACTCTCACTCTCACTCTCACTCTCACTCTCACTCTCACTCTCACTCTCACTCTCACTCTCACTCTCACTCTCACTCTCACTCTCACTCTCACTCTCACTCTCACTCTCACTCTCACTCTCACTCTCACTCTCACTCTCACTCTCACTCTCACTCTCACTCTCACTCTCACTCTCACTCTCACTCTCACTCTCACTCTCACTCTCACTCTCACTCTCACTCTCACTCTCACTCTCACTCTCACTCTCACTCTCACTCTCACTCTCACTCTCACTCTCACTCTCACTCTCACTCTCACTCTCACTCTCACTCTCACTCTCACTCTCACTCTCACTCTCACTCTCACTCTCACTCTCACTCTCACTCTCACTCTCACTCTCACTCTCACTCTCACTCTCACTCTCACTCTCACTCTCACTCTCACTCTCACTCTCACTCTCACTCTCACTCTCACTCTCACTCTCACTCTCACTCTCACTCTCACTCTCACTCTCACTCTCACTCTCATATACACACGTTGGGAACCAATGTGATAGATGGCTGCTATTGCCTCTTATTTTTAGCAAGGTTGCAGGCTTTCATTAAAGATGATTTCTCAAAGAGTAAAGCCACCTGGGAAGATTGTGGTTCTTGGGTTGCCAGGGCAGCTGGGATTTATTCCCAGCAGGAACAACGGGATGCAGGAGGCCATACTAAATCAGTTTTGCCTTAACCTTACTTTTTGAGGACAGAATATGGGAGCTGTTTTGGAGGGAGTTTTTTCAGGGATTCTCTGTAGATGAGACTTTTTCATCAGTCCTAGATGAAGGGGAAACTCGTTATGAATAACAGCAAAACCACACAAAAGAACCCCAAAAACAACTCAATCCTTAAAAGCAATCTTCCATTGTAGCTAGTGCAAAGGATTTCAGTGAGTTTCAGATATAAAGAACACTTATTGATCGTGTGTTATTTCGTTATTAGGATAGAGAATGAAAAATGGTGAGACAGACCTGGCATTTCTAAAGGGCTCCTTTTTTTAAAATTAGTTTGAAATTAATATTAATGTAATGACTTACAGAATTATTTTTAGAAGAATTCATATCGGAGCATGCGTTGCAATCTGAAAAGAATATACTATAGCCTTCATGGCCAGCAAAGTGGTTGAACTTCTGGTTTAAGTGCAAAACTCGATACTTGTTTTAGAATTGGAAGAATTTCTAAAATGGAAATTTTGAAATCTACTCATCTAAACTTCAAAGGGATTAGAAGATTACTTTTCCTTTGAACCTTGAGAGAGTCAGCCAGTAAGAAATCGCACAGATTTTCTGACCCCCTGCCATATTAGACATGAATGGAAAGTGTTGGAGACGTACTAATTCAGAGAAGTAAAGCCCCCTGGGAGTTCCAGACACTGTTTTAACAAGTGAATTGAACTAGAAAGAATGGTTGGCAAGTCAGCTTCCCTTACCCTGCAGGGAACTTGTTTTTGAAGGAGCAGTATATAGATATGTGCAGTTAGAAAATCTGTCATGTATATATGTATGTATGTATGTCCTAATGGTAAAGGTAGAGCACTCCTGAGTGGCTATTGTGCTGTTACAGGCTTAGGAAAGCTGGGGAAAATGCCCTAATTTTCGTTCCATCATCTTCGGGGTTTGCAGTTGGGCCGAATGTGGCTGAGAAATGAGGGCATTTCTTTTGGATGTTGAAGGGAATGTTCAGGAATCTAGGAAAATACTAAGTTGTCAGAGTCTCAAGGAACATAATGCGTCAGGTTTTGAAGAATCGTTTCCCTGCATTTTAGAGGATAATGAACCAGTTACCTGAAGCAGTTCTCTAACCTGCAACATTTTTGAAGTGGGCTGTGTCTTGATTTTGCTTGCTGTTTTAAGGTGTATTTTTGGTTGTATGCATCACGGGTAACCATTCTGATCTTCCTTATTTTCGTTGGAAAACACAAGAAAGGTCTTGGAATTGTTTGAGTAGCTTAAGAAAAGGGGTAGAAATGGTGCATATTTAACAAAATCTGCCTTTATCCAGAATAGTAGGGCAAAGAGGCTTAGTATTGTGCTCCCCTGTGTGCTCTCTCTTTCAGTAATGCCAATCAGAGATGAAATGTCTTTAAAATGAAACTTCATATTGCACACGAGAGCTGGAGAGAGGTGTAAAAAGAAAAGTCTTTTCCAGACTTTTCTGTCTGGAAAAGTTCATTTTATGCAAATTAGGTTTGGATAAAAGTTGGAGCAGTCTCTTTACCTCAAACGTGTCTGATGGCAAGCAGGGTGTTGAATTATGCTTCTTTCTTTCTTTGCATTCTTCTTTGCCTAAGGAAGGACGCACGAGCCCTAAAATGTGCAAATAAAGACATTTTTTCTTGCAACTATCTAGTTGGTCAAATAAAAGATAGCACCTCTACCACACTGACTGCTTTTACTTTTAGACCAACATGTCTACAACTTTCATCCCTGAATCAAAAGTGAAATCGTGTGTACACTGCCAGATTTGGGGCTGGGAAGGAATTTTCTTTTAGATCACATTAGTAGAGACCTTGGATTTTACTTCCTTTCTCTGCAGCACGAGGTGTAGTTTGCCTCCTGGGATCATTTGACCTTGTCAGCTAAACAATTCTTTATGATTGCAAGGGCCTCGGGCACGGCTTGCACCTTGGTCTTTCCCATTTTCCAGGGCATATATTTAGGTTCCTTTAGAACTAGAGTACTTTAGTTTACACTGAACTCTGTTAGTTTAAACTAAATTGATTAGCCCCCCTGGATGATACTTAATGGCTTACGATGAAAAGGAGATGAGGCTAGACTGTGCAAGATGAAACACTATCTGAAGACATTAGCCCTTTTGGGGGGGGGGGGGGGGGGGGGAAGGGAGATGGGGACCCTCTCACTTGCATTATGGGACAGCTGATTATGGATACGTGTTATTTCCAGTTTTAGTAACAATGATTAGCCAATTGCCTGTCAAGAATTGGGTGGGGGGAGGCAGAGTACTGCCACCCACTGCCCCACACTGCCACTGTTCTGCCTCTATCCCCATGTGCCACCCCAGCCCCTGCTGCTCCACCCTGCAGCACCGCTGCTCCCAGGCATGGGGGAAGGGGGGAAGCTTTTGCACGCAGTGACTGCAGCCACCACCCAGCATCCCGTGTGGCCACCACTGCACATCCGGCTGCACAC